CCCACTTTTGTATTGTAACACGGAACGTTATCAGCCCCCCCCCCCCAAAGTCCATGTTCCACTCATTTATTTCCTCCTGTTTCACCTAGTAAGTATATGTCTGATACCACCTGGTGTCCCTCAGGCAGCATTTGTGTGCACATGCCCTTGCCTGATCCTCCTCCCTTCCTCAAGCTGATGCCTATTCACCCTCCAATTCCCACCACAAGCTCCGCTCTTCAAGGAACCCATTGCTTACCCTCTGCACCTTCTTTTCACACCTGATAGGATCTCTGATTTACATACTTTCCTACTTCTCTGTCTTTGCCTTCCATGCCCTTACCACTGTTTTTATGTGTATAGTTGTGTGAACAGTTTCTGTCTCTGGTACTGGCCTGGATGTTCATGAATGACTATGACTATGACTGGATGAAGAAATGGTTAGTTCAGGCCTCATCCCTTAGCCCCTTTTCTCCTGCTTAGGGGTGCCATGTATGTCACAGTGCATCGTGAGTCCAGTCCAGCCACGTTTCTCTGTGTGCATCAAATCCACTGCTCCGTGTACATCTGCACATTTGCTTGTCTCCTCTCCTAGTGAGTTCAAAAAGTGATTATTCTTATTCATCTCTCCCATGAATAAGAGAAACAGCAGCCCCAACAGGAGTTGGGGAGTTTTGTTTTATCTTGTTTTGCCATAGGATGCATGTGTTCTCCAGAGAGAGTGAGAGAGGGAAAGTGAGAAATCACCCCCCTCAGGGGTGTTGGCCATGCCACAACCCTTCTCCTCCATACTTCTCTGTCCCGACCCACAGAACAGTCGAACAGGTTCCCTGGGGGAGGGAGTGAGAGATGGGACAAACACACGCACACATAATAGGAGGTGCTGATCAAGTCCTCCGTCTTCTTCTTCTTCCGTTTATTGAGGAGAAATGGTGAGTTATATACAGCTGGTGGGCACCAATTGGTTGCCCAAAATGCAAATGAGATAGAACAGCATGAACCAGTCATTGATGTGGGTGGATCTCTCCCGTTGCCTCAAAACCCAACCACTTCCAGTGATAATGGTTGGTCAAATGATTTCTGAGAACCGGTTTGCTCAGTGAGGAAGTGAAGCCTAATGGTTTCCAAGATGGTAGATAGCTCAAGATGGCGGATAGCTCAAGATGGCTTCCATATGCACTGCCTTCCAAAATACTCTCAGGATTTTGGGCATGCACACACACACACACACACACACACATACAGCACGTCTTTTAAGCCACTGTGTCCAGGACTCATACTGCAGTCAGACATGTGGGAGTCCAGCACTTTAACCTCCATACCACCTGCTGGCCACACTTGAGGAGCTCTGGATGTGAACCTACAACCTTTCCATCCAGGTCAGCTTCAAAGAGTGGTGTGTTTTCTGCTGCCACATCCGACCCTTCAAAATATATTGGATTATTGAGAAAGTCATGGCATATTTTTCCTATGGTGAAAAAATGCATCATGAATTTTCTGACACCCCAGTATCCTATATTTCCTATAAGAATTCCTTTATGTTTGATTATATTGAGGCCCTTGTAATTGACTTCAAATGGAAATATATAATATTCTTTATAAACATATATATGAATTGTTTAGGTAGTAAAGAGCTGAGTGACTCTGTATTTAATTTAGAGCACTGATACATAATCTAGAAAATTGTTTTCCTAATAAAAGCAATCCTTTGGCTAAAGACAAAGTCAGCCTACTTCTACTTTGAAGCCATATATATGAGGCAATTTCAGGAAGTTCATGGAAAAATGGAATTAAAGTACAAATTTATTTTGGTGTGGAAAATATTTGAAATCCATGTGTTTTTTTTAATAATGCACAGTTTTTATAAACTCTTTGAAGACTCTACCTCAACAGAATAAAATTGCTAAAAAGCCTACAACATAGAGGACAAAATGTATACTTGAAATAAAAGTAAAATTACTGTAAAGGAAACCTAGAAACCTTATTGGGGTAATACCTCATATATTAAATATACCTAAGACACTTTTATTAAAATAAAGCATGTTCTTTAGAATTTACTTCTTCAGAATTGTAAAAATTTTGTTTATTCTCTTCCTGAATGTATGCATATCTTGACATTTTCCCATAAGGTCTCCAGGTCTCTTTTTTATAAGTATATACCCTTTGAATAATGGATAGAATAAGAATAGAAGATCATTTTTTTAAGAGGTTTTTTTTTGCTATAGGGCGCGTGCACTCGCCAGACAGAGAGAGACAGAGAGATAGAAAGCGAGAAATCACCACCCCCCCAGGGGGGATGGCCACACCACAATCCTTTCTCCTCCGATCTCCTCTCGGAATCTTGGGCATACACGCACATATGCCTGGCGTGAGTTTTAAGCCACCAGGTCCAGGGCACGAACCGCGGTCGACTACATGGGAGTCCAGTGACATAGCCATTACGCTAACTGCTGGTCCCAGAAAAGCAGTTTTTAAGTGCTCTCTTTAAAAAGCAAACATAATTACCTTGATTGAGCATTACATGTAACCTTCCTATAAACTGAGAAATAGAAAACATGATAAACTACATCAATTTCATAATCAAGATGAAGTTTGGAAGATACTATATTTCCTGCTAGAGGATTCCTGTCACTGGGCAGCCCCTATGGTGGAAATAGACACAGGAAATGGGTTAACCACCAGTACCATTAATATTGAATTCTGAAATTTAGAAGCCCAATTCTAGATAAGCAAAGATTTTACTTAGGAAACAATGATTATCTACACTCAACAAGTATTTGATTAAGATTCTAGAATTCTGGATCATGAAGTATAACTTCTTTAGCATGTGGGGATGGTTTAGTGTTTGGAAATGGCAATGTAGATAGGAGTTCTTATTGTCTATGTGGACCTGGACACGTTTAATCACTGCACACATCAGTTTTCTTATATGTGAAACTAATCATTAAAAATAAGCTTCTTTGGAAAATGTTGTTAGGATTCAGTGTGACTAATGTTCCTAAGCTTATATTTAGCACATATTAGGATTTTGTATGAAGGACTGGGTTGTGTAAAGATCCTAGGATGACACCTGGCATATACGGCCAGGTCTTCAAAGCACTTTGTCATTCTCTTCCTTTCTCATCTCCTCCTTAGTGATCATTTCTTCTCTACTTCAGGGAAAGCATACATTGCATGTGGACACTGGAATGGAAGGTAGTTGGTGTGGCCTTATTCCTGTTGGACAGCCTTGCAATCAGGTAACGACAACAGGCCTGAAGTGGAACCTCAGTAAGTAAAACTCTTCTATAACTGGGTTTTTTCTTTATTCTTCTTTTATTATTTTTTTAATCTCTTGGGTAAATCCATGGGAGTGTAATTGCCAGATAAGTCATGTGTTAAATGTATTTTTAAACTATCAAGGAACTGCCAGACTATTTTCCAGAATGCTTGCCCCATTTCACATCCCCACAGCAATGTGTTCCAGTTTCTCCACATCCTCACCAATGCTTTTTATGATCTGATTTTTTGTTTATAGCCATCCTAGTGGGTGTGAAAGTGGTATCTCACTGTGATTTTGATTTGCATTTCATTGATGACTAGTGATGTCAAGCAACTTTTCTTAAGCTTAGGAGACATTTATATATCTTTCTTGGAGAAATGACTAAGTCTTTTACTCGTGTCTTAATTGGGATATTCTCTATTTATATAGAGTTGTAAGAGTCCTCTACTTATTATAGATGTAAGACCTTTATCAGATATGTGACTTGCAAATATTTTCTCAGAGCCCTTGGCTTTGCATTTTCTCAAATTTAATGAAGTTAATTTTAACTTACTCCGATTTCTTTATTTTATGAACTATACTTCTGATGTCTTATCTAAGAACTTTGTCCAGATTTCTACATGATTCTTGTGTACCTGAACATTACTTTTTTTTTCTAGTGAAGTAATTCTAACTAAAGTAGCGTGTTCTCAGAATCAAATCTCTGAAAGAACATAAGCTTGACTGCTCTTATTAAATTTTAAAGTATTTTCCAATAATTACCAACCATATTAGACCCAAGTAATACTAAAACTGATGTAAAAAAGAAAAAAAAATGAGTAGGATCTGTTCATGAAATGAATGCTTATTTCAAATGAAACCATCAGGCACTGTGGAATGGATAAACTCTAGTCTCTTCCAGAATAGCAAGAATTTAATGAAAGATCTCTGACTGAATGTGCAAGGGATCATGCCCTGACTGAGCAATACCTCTGAGGCTGTGTGCAAGTAAAATATGGAACCCTGCCATTCTTTTCTACCATGTAAAACTCTTAGGTTCCCACAGCAAAGAAATCTTTTTTTCCAAGAAATAAACATTTTGAACATAAAAAGCTTTTTTTGGAAAGACCTTCCTATAAACCACTGCTGAAACAATTAGGAAAAACGAGGTATTTTGAAACAAATGTCTAGAGAGCTCATCAGAATTTGAAAGGATGTGAGAACATCTCCATTGCACAGACATACTAGGCTTTGAAGCTGTTTAGCTGAAGCTGATATGAGCACTCATTAGAAGCTTTTCGAAAACATTCTCACCTAAAACAACTGCTTTACTTTTTAGAACATCCTTTAGGACCAGCCCTTGGCATAATGGCTATGTCACTGGACTCTCACGTAGTCCACCAAGGTTTGAGTCCTTGACCCGGCGACTTAAACTCATGCAAAGCACGTGTGCATGCGTACTCAAGATCCTGAGAGGAGAATGGAGGAAAAGGGATTGCAGCATGGCCAACCCCCTGGGGAGTGATTTCTCACTTTCTGTCTCTCTTTCTCTCTCTGTCTTTCTGGTGAGTGCACAAACCCTATAGCAAAAAGCCTCTTTAAAAAATCCTTCGATACCGTATTTTTCATAGTAATATGTACATCTTATTATGTACGTCTCTATCAATGAAGTTTTCTCTGGAAATGGGTCCTTTGACATGACGAGGGTAGGGCTTTTAATTTTCCTGTCTGTGATCCTTTTTTTTTTTAATGATAAGGTAGATCACCTTAACTTCCTCTGTCATACAGTGGTAGGAAAGAGTTGCAAGATATGACAGAGATATGTTCTTGAGAACATCCTTTAGGACCAGCCCTTGGCATAATGGCTATGTCACCATAGGGCGCATGCGCTCACCAGAAAGACAAAGACAGAGACAGAAGGCGAGAAATCACCTCCCAGGGAAGATGGCTCAGTGTGAGTTTCGGTCACAAGGTCTGGGACTCAAACCACGGTCGACTACATGGGAATCCAGTGACATAGTCATTATGCTAACTGCTGGTCCCTGTGATCATTTTTTGATTCTGTTTAAATGCAATCTCTTTTAGCTGTTTACATAGTTACAGATTGCTTTGACTTTTGAAACAATTATTTTTCCTCTACAACTTTATTGAAAAAGCAACTTTAGGGAGTATGCAAAGCTTTGGAATGGAAACACAAAGTGTCTCATCAGTTAGTTTTGGTAGATGTGCTATTTCAAGGGGTGTTTAACTTATGGATAATATCATTTCATTAAAAAGTACTAAAAATAGGGGTTGGCAGGTGGCATGGTGGTTATGGGCACTGGATTCCCACATGACCAACATGGTTTGAGTCCTAGACCTGGTGGCTTGCTTTCTCACTTTCTGTCTCTTTCTGTCTCTCTGTCTCTCTCTCTCTCTCTCGTTCTGTCTCTCTCTAGTTAAAAAGAAAGAGAAAGAAAGAAACAAGGTAGGAAGAGAGTTAAAGTAATTCTTTAAAAATGGTATTTTTTTAAAAAGTATTAAGTGTGAATGAAATTCTGTTGACATAAAGAAAAATACATAGACTTTGTTCACAGAGCAGATTCCTGCCTTATTCAATGCCACTGAATGCCAGTAGAACCCTGAGGTCAGTGCTATTCTGTCATTCACTGCTACAAGTGACCAGACCGAGCTGTGCTTGGAAGAGAAAGGACATGCAGCAGCTTAGTCCAGGGCAGCTCACTTCTGGGATCAGCAAGAGTAAACAAGGCCTGTGAAGAACATGTTGGTTCTCCCCAGGTGACCTTGGAGCTCAGTCTCCCCCAGTGTATACCCACTCTAAGATACGGTCCTAGAAGTTCTACAGTGTTCTTATTCATCCAACTTAGGACTTAAAAATATGAAAGACACCTGCATACCCATCATGCAGAAGTGAAACTTTCCAAAACTGTGGAAGTTGTCTCTGGTTACATATTTTATTTCAAAGCACTGTGTTAGGAACATTCTTTGCATGAGTCGTACACGAAAGTTTCTCTAGGATACGAGCGCTGGGGAGCAGAGTAGCTGTCCCTCTTTGACTAGAAGTGCCACATTGCTCTGTGCAGCGCTGTCATAGGATCCCCTGCTCCACAGTTCTTGGCATTGTCAGACTGAATCAGATGTGCCTGTCTGATGAGTGAAAATGATATTTCTTTGTAGTCTTCTCTAGTGAAGATAAGTGTGTTCTTGTATTTATTAGCTCTGCTATATCCTCTCTGCTACTTCCTTTTGCCCATTTTTTTGCACTGGGCTGATAGTTCTTAGAAGATCTTAAGACCCTTGTTTTCTCTTCCCAGGCTCTACTTTTGCCTTTTAATTTACTTATGATGTTTTTATATGAAGAGAGGTTTTGAGTAAAATGTAGTCAAAATTTATCAGTCTTTTTCTTTAAGATTTATAATTTTTGCATTTTTTACATTCTCCATGCTTGATAATGGTATTCTCATTTTAGTTTTCTTTGTTTTTGTTTTGAGAGATTTTTGCCATAGGGCACGTGACTTTGCCAGAGAGACAGAGAGAGACAGAAAGTAAGAAATCACCCCTCAGGGGCGATGACCACACCACAATCCTTTCTCCTCCATTGTCCTTGGGATTTGGGGCATGCGCACACACTCTCCCAGTGTAGCCGCTGGGTCCAGGACCAGAACTACAGTTGATTGCGTGGGAGTCCAGTGATGTAATCATTATGCCATCTACTGGTCCTATCATTTTAGTTTTAAACCTTCAACTGGTTTTTGTGTATGATAAGAGATAGGAATCCATTTTTTTCCCTAGTGATAAACAAGTGCTTTAGCATCACGTCGCATCCTTTCTCCTGTGATTTGCAGTGCACCACAATTTTTATACGTGTCGATGTGTTTCTTGGATCTCTGTTCTGTTCACATAGCTTACATATGTCTTCCTCATGACATGCAACTTTACTTATCATAGCTTTTGGATAATCATCAAAATGCAGCAAGTGTAGGCCTCCAAAACAAGATTGCCATATCTTGCTCTTATCTATAAAATTTAGAATTAATTTGACAAATGTCACATAATTCCATTGTAAAGTTTATTGGACTTAGATTCAATTATAGATTAATTTGGGAAGAATAGAACGATTAGCAAAGAAAATTTTAGTATGAAGTTGTTTCTTCCCATCTGCTATGGTTTGGAGAATGGTTTGTCCCCCAAAGGTTCATGGTTTGAAATTTGGTACTCAGTGTAATGACAGTGGGCAATGGTAAGATCTTCAAGATGGGGGCCATCACCCTCATAAATGACTGAGTGTTAAGCCCTGTTAAGTAGGGTTTAATTTTTATGAGAGCGTATTTTTATATGAGGAAATGGCTGCATTCAGGTCTCAGTCTCTGCACCCTCTGGCCATCTGTTTCTCTTGGTGATGGCATATACTGGCCTCATGGCCTTGGACTTTCCAGTCATCAGAATCATAAACAAAATTTTTTTTTTCTTTCCAGAGGGCATGTGCATTTGCACCAGAGAGACAAAAAGAGAAATCATGTTGTGTTGGAGACTGGTCTAGTCACACTGCTTTTTATTCTCCATCAACATTTATTCTTTTAACATTACTCAGTCGTGGGACCAGCAGGTAGTATAGTGGCTAAGGGTGCTGGACTCCCACATGCCCAACTGCAGTTCGAGTCCCAGACCTGGCAGCTTACTTTCTCACTTTCTCTCTCTTTCTCTCTCCCTCTCTCTTTCCTTTCTTCCTCCCTCTCTGGTCAAATTAAAATTAATTAATTAATTAATTAATTTTAATAAATTATTCAGTCTTAGCAATCTTTGTTAGAGTGGACTAAGACACCATCCATCAATTTAATCTATCACTTTTTACTTAGAACTTTTTAATTCCTTTTAGTAATTTCACAATTTTCTCCATAAAGATCCTATATATGTTTTATATGATTTATTTATTTAATTTAATTTATTTATGTAATTTTCTGTAAGTCTTATGTGCTCACCAAAGACAAAGAGAGACAAGAAAAGTGAGAAAGCAAGCCACTAGATCTGG